TCAGTTTCAGAGAGTGGTGATATGGATTCAGAAAACCACAGTGTGGTGATCCGGAAAATCGGATCACGACGTCACGTGATAGCGTAAAATCAACAGTAAAATAGAGTGATACACATTAGGTATATAATAAATTAGTATATCTGAGAAGTGGTGTAAATCAGATGTGGATACTTAAAAACTCCAAGGAACTTTTAGAAAATTTGAAATTAAAATTTTACCGAAACCAATAACATCAATATGTTTTGACTTTTCCACACTTCACTTCGTTAACCATTCCCAATGATAAATTGAACTCCGGGCTTTTTTACATGAAACAGTTGCTTTTTCAATAAACACGAAGCTCGTAAATTGGTCATTTGCAAAACAATTTTCTTAAAAACATTCTGATTGGACACATACGTACTCTGAGGTCGACATTACAAGATGCATGTGCTTCTGATTGACAATATCTATGTAGTTTTTTTTTTTTACGATCCGTTGGAATTCCCAAATGTACATGTACCAATTGCGCCCGGTTATTAGCAGACCTGTTTTGGTGTTAATATTAAGCAGATTTTAATCATAAACTTCTGCACGAAAAGAAGAAAATACAAAGTTAATTTGATAAATATGTAAGACTATGCTCTGCATCAACAGTCTCGCTTGAAGTCATTATTTCTCAAGTTTTATGCTCGACACAATGAAATTTTCAGCATTTTTTTTTACACCATATTCAGTCAAATGCTGAATGACGTTTTTCACACTTACTGTTAGACCATTGTTTATGTACAATGTATCGTATAGTGTTTCAATTTTATCTTATGCATATCAAAAGTGTCATTATCTTCTGATATCTTTTCAGATCGGATGGAGAAGTTATTGGATAAATTGTGAATACATGTACCTATCTTTTATACCACGGTATTCCACGTAATTTATTTTATTGAGTAAATATCAAATATTTGACAACTTTGAAAACATTCTAAACTTCGTAAATAGATATTGAAGGAGTTCAGCCTATTCAGGAAATATGATTGGTATTACATTTTAAAAGTTTTGAGTTTAACATTTTAAAAGAAATACAAGGGCGATGCATTTGGAAATTAGTTTGAAGGTATGGAAATTTTCTTTTATAGAAAATGACAATAAAGAAAAATCATGCTTTTGATTGATACGTTTGCATGGGCTTTTATGCTTTATTTTTTTTTAAATATTTTTAATCTGTCATGAAACTTGATTAAATCAGGAAAATGAACAAATTCAATTCATAATAGCAAAATATGGCATTTTGAAAAGGTTTATAAAAATCAATGAAACGTGATTTATTTTAAAGCAGACTTCAAAGAGTGGGACGGGGTCAGATTTTTATGTGAATTGGAAGTAATCATGGTACCCTTACTCCAAACAAATATCATGTACAAATTATGTTTCTATTTTCGGTCAAAGTAGTATTCCATGAGGATACACATATCAGTGCATGCAAAAATTGAAGTAAAATTTAGATATTAATTTTTTTAGTCAATTTAGCGGGAACTGTGTGGCACATCATCCTTTACATTGTTACATCCGTAGGCCGAGAGTTCTTGGAGCGGAAGTGGGTGTCCTAATAAAAGTTTTCATAATCAAGAAAACGATAATGTCAGCTGCAAAAACTTTCATTTAAACACTCAAATTTCACTCTGATATTTTTTGAACAGAAATTCTAATCCATTTTTAGAATTTAAATGTTAAAGAAACAGGACTGTCTTATCAAGTTGAACACATCTGGTATTTTCATCTCAGAGTAATGTATAACTTGTACTGAAAGTCAAAATGCATAAAGGTTACATTTCGCTTTGCACTTCCTTTTCATAGAAGGACAAATATCTAAGTAGACTTGTCTGGATACACGAAAACATAAAAATGATTTTCAAGTTCAACAGAGAGAGAAAAAAAACAAATAGTTGCATTAAATATTTTATTGGTCATGTTCTTTGAAATTTATCCATCATAAAAAAGAGAAAAGAATATGTATGGTTTTGTAAGAAAATGAAAAACTTGGCTGACATCCAAAATCGGATTTTCACATAAACATGCTTATAAATTATTTATTTATACATTATTTATTAATACATTTCATTCGTTGAATCTCTTCGATCATTCAAAATTTTATGTTCTCTTACTTAGCATAATTTTGATTATGATTTTTAAAATGACAAAAGCAGTATTAAAAATATTTAAAAATGAAAAATATTTTTCTCAAGATGATATACCTTATTTTGGGATAAATGCGTTACGTAGACATGGTAGTTTTAAAAAGGATTTCATGCTTGTCTGAAGAAAAAAATCTCCAAATACGTATGTCCGTTTGGCGCATGGTAAGTCATACAGAAACGTATAGAAATTATATTAATAATTAATTAGACAAATGTCAGAAATGATAACTTCTACGAATAAACAAATAAAGCATAATGTTTGTTTGACTAAAAAAATCAGCAATCACCGATTTCTTAGTATAAGATTTGAAGTTTCAATCCTACAAAAATTATTTTTAAAATTTTCCTATTGTCTTCTAGAATCCATGTGTATATATCCATCTGCTGGACCTGGACCTGCAAAATGTACAATTTCATGTAAAAATTCAAGACATATTTGGTAATCTGTACTATTTTAAAGTTCTTTACTTTTTCATTTAATTTTACAGACTGCGAAAAAAATACTATTAAGAAAATTTTCCACACTCGACTTTTTTTTCATTTCCGATAATTTGGTTTTAACGTAATAGATCGTATTTATAGATAAGATGCACATTCTTCTGGTTAATGAGATTAATTAACCTAAATTTTCCCTGCTATTCAGTCAGAAGTCAAGTTATGACTTTTTCTCCCAATCCTCATAAACTGGATTTGGATGTTGGGATTTATTTGCACTTGTCAGGGATTCTAAAGATGATCTCCTCCACTTTATCATAACAATCAGGACAAATAAAAGCAGCATCAATACAACCAATCCACCCAGAGCTCCACCGACCGCTGTTGTAGTGTCAAAGGGAGATAATAATTCTCTTGACTCTTTAGCAAAGCCTGAAATATGAACAGTTTTCTTATTTTGTAGGAAGACCACAATGACATATTTGATTTTAATTTTACAATACTTACATTGAGATATTGAAAATGCTCCGATAGTGGATGTTCTTTCATCTGGACATTTTTTACAATCTGTTGACCTATCCTGGTAGAACCCTTCAGGACACTGAATGCAGGAACTCTCGGCGTAAAACCAGCCTGGTCTGCACTTAGCTTTAATTGTTTGTAACAATAAAAAACAAAATTTCAACAGAATTCCTTTCCTCGAGTTGTACAAAGATTTAAAAGAAACTATTCAGAAAGATATTAAATAATCTGAACAGACTGAAGGCAATACATTTGTATTGAGAAACCTGCCTGTTTGGAAAAGATCGACTATTTTTTGTCCGTTATTATCCATCTGTTGCACCAAAAGTTGTTTGTTTGTATCAAACCTAAAATGAGTTTTGATGAAAACTATATGGTCCTATTAGATTGCAGAAATAAACATAAAAATATTTGCTAAAATAAAGCCCTCAGGATGTATGAAAAATCAGCGAATAATCAAATTAAAACGTTAATATATTTTTTTTAAATTGTGATATACAGCCCTCTGTATTCATGAGTTAATAGAAGTGCCGAGTAAGATATTATTACTACAATTTTCCTTCCATAATCATCCATATTTGCAATATCTTGGACGAGAGTTGCCCTTCTATCCTCTGGAAAGGCCTATCGCAAAATAAGATATCGCCTTCGGGACAGAGTCCAGACTGATTAATACAGTCTCTTAATTCTGCTGCATTTATCATGAGGCGTGGACAGTTAAACTTGAATGTGTAATTTCTTCTTAGATAAGTTGGTTCCGGCTTTAAATCAAAGCAAGAAAAATTTTTTTTTTAAGATTATATGATAAAGTTCGCTCTTGACTTTAAAAGTTAAACTTGTATTACTCACTGATACATGATATGGCTATAAAATCCTTAGGAAATTCCGGGTTCCAGACTCCATTTCCACAAGTATGTGAATCATTATTTTTCAATAGAAACCCCTCATCACAAGAATGTATTGAACGCTGTAAAGCTCCCTTGTTTTGGCATCCCAAAAATCCATGAAATGGAACAGGTGGAGCTGTACAAGCTTTGTCTTAAAAATAAATCGAATGTCAATTTTTCCTTCATAGCTTCGAAACTAAAGTTAATAGGGTTAAGATTATTATTTTTTACTGATAATATCATTACATTGTATTTATTTTCTTATTTCTGAATGAAGCTCAAAGCTTTCTAATTTGAAACTAGAGGTACTGTGAGCAATGAGCTCACTAAATGGTACCCCCGCCTCCCATATGAATAGAATGGGACTATCCATATTTGGTTGTGGGTAACCCAAAACACCATACCTGATGCAATTGAAAATTAGCCACTGAGATATTTAAGTAGGTCACGTACTTGCAAGTACGTAGCAATATAGTTTCAAAAGTAGAGAATGGGGGCTTAACACCCCCCCCCCCACCCCAATCTTACAAGCCCCCCAAAAAGCCTTGACTATTGACCAGATAGTTTGGGGGAGGGGGCACTTTCTTGAATTATCAAGAAAAACACCAAAACTTACCAGAAAAAGCCACGTTCCGTGGACCTGACTTGGTTTTAGAATTCAGCTGGACTACTTTTTTGTCAATAATTCGTTGATTCAATAAACCCCATTCAACGGCAGATGACGCGAGAAACACTTTATATCTAGATCTGAAATACATGCACCTGTTTTATATCTATGTACAAGTAATTTACTGGGGATAAACGGTGATATCAAACTACATATATCGATTTATAACAATCAGAATGCTTCAATTTTTCTAACGTCATAACTTCCCTAAATTATATTAGAGAACTCCTTTAATTTGAAAATCGAGGGCTTTTGCATATTGTGTAACCTTAATTTGTTCTCTGTGTTTTTTAGGAGCCATTTCCTTGTACGTCTATTATCTAGAAGATAAGAAATCGTGCATTTACACATTACGTACTTAGAAGAATGAAGCTAACCACCGCACTCCTTGTTCTTAGTACTGTCATTTGTACGAAAGGTATTCTTTTTCCATATTGAATGAAAACTTCAAGGATGATTAACTACATATATGATGTAGAATTTATAAAACGTGACTTTATTAAAAACCAGACTGGGAATTTCAATTTAATGTATTTTGAATATTTACCAAATGTAGTACTTGTATGTTACCGACCCCTGTGGTTTCGATATAATGACCTTGTTAGAAAATACAATCTGTCATTTAGTTATAATTGTCAACTAACGTTTTTCATGTTAGTTGTTATACATTTCTTTTAAAAGCAATGAATTGTCTAGAGGGATTTTCCCACTTTCCCCAATCATTACAAGGGGCATTCAACAGATGTGAACGATCGACAGGGAATGCTTTCTTCTCCATGGCACCTGATCCCACCTCTGATTGTTTTAGAGTTCCGTGTTTGCTCCTCTATGGCACCTGATCCCATCTCTGATTGTTTTAGAGTTCCGTGTTTACTCCTCTATGGCACCTGATCCCACCTCTGATTGTTTTAGAGTTCCGTGTTTGCTCCTCCATGGCACCTGATCCCATCTCTGATTGTTTTAGAGTTCCGTGTTTACTCCTCTCCTGATTTGTATTGTTAAATGGACCTTTGAGCATGGTTCCATATATATTATTATAACAGTAACTTGATCCGAAGGGTCGTATCACGTCGAGTTGACAGGCGCGGATCATCAGATCTAACGAGACGCGAAGCGTCTAGTTTGATCTGATGATCCGCGCCTGTCAACGAGACGTGATACGGCTCTTCGGATCAAGTTACTGTTATAATGATAAATTTATTATATACCCCCTCATAACTAGCTAAATATAGCAAAATAAAACTTTAGAGATCAATTGTATAATATTTATTCATAAAACAAAGCATAATAACAAGGGACTTTTTAACGCGCAGAAAAATAACGTCATGTTTCTGCGTACTACGTCATCAGTTTCAGAGAGTGTTGATATGGATTCAGAAAACCACAGTGTGGTGATCCGGAAAATCGGATCAAACTCTGTAAAATTAACAGTAACAAAAACAAGGAAATTGATGGGTATATAATAATGTTTGTTATCTACATAGTTCACCAAGAATTGGAATTCAGATTATAGTTTTTTTATGAATGTCAATCAAAAAAGTTTTTTGGTAATTTATGTACACCATTACTGACACTGAATTCCGTGTGCCCGATCATGACAAGGAGAACATGACTGATTTGACAGGGCGACAGGGGATGCTTACTCCTCCATGACATCTGATCCCACTCCTGCTCATTATTTGTATTACTTAAAATCTGCAATGGACTTCTGAACTTGATTAATGTACTGTTTTGTAAATTTGCACATTTCATTGTGACCATTGAAGATACATATCTATCTTCTGATTTTTATATTATACATATTTTCCTTATTATTTCCATTTGGGCAATAATTTTCGGATCAAATATACATATTTTGTGTAAATTTTCAATTTGGACATTTATCGTAAATTGATTTTTCAGGATGCGAAGTTGGTTGGTTAAGATTCCAAAATAAATGCTACATGTTTAGTCACACAAAAGCGACCTGGGCAGAATCGGAGGTAGACTATTACACTGTTCTTACAGAGAACCTTATTTTTCTTATATTCAAAGCAAGGGATTAAAACTATTCAAAAAATTGCATTTTTTATGTGTCTTTTCATGATATATTATACTGCATGGATATATTTTATAGAATATTTGTTTTTAAAAATCTCTTTGAAAGTTAAAAAAAATTCAATTTAAAATCTAAATTTAAAAAAAAAAAAATTTGTTTATATATTATGTCGTTTAAATCATTTTATAATAATTTGGCAAATAATGAACGTATCAAGCTAAAGTTTTTAACAATTCTTTACTTTTTGTTGCTTTGTTCCTTATAAATTTTGAAAGCACAGACTATATAGACCTATTTTTATAGAAACAGTCCAGAACTTTTGATAACCTCTCGTATCTTACACATACTCAATCCCCCATTCTTTAATACAATGTCATTTGTTCACGAAAATCGCTGACATAGCAGTGACATAGAATCGAATTTGAAAGGGGGGAATTAAACTTACCTGAAAAGAATTTGACAAGCGAAAAAAGAGGAGACAATTGTTTGATTTGGTAGGGGGATAAGTTCCAACTTCAACATCTTTCAGTACTTTTTTTTTACATTAACTTACTACATAAATTACATTAACAAAACGTGTGGGGGTTTCAATGAACAAAAAGGTTATGCCTAGAAAATAATGGGGATTTGATATCTAGATGAACCATGGTAAGAGAAATAAAATGTAAAAAAATTTCTTAAGATTACAATTAGATCCAACATTTCCGGCAAGGTCGGATAAACATCTCTAATGTAGAACTAATTATTAAAATTTTATGCAACATAGAGTCGCTTAATTCCTGTTCATTAAATTCTGGATAGATAAGGTTGGAAAACTTTTCTGTGATAAATTTAATGTAACTTCATAGAATGTTACTATGAAGTTAAAGTTTGTTTATATGTGTTACATGTGGGGGTGGGGGGTGGGGGTGGGTTTAGGTTTAGATCTGAGATAGGTATATAGATAAAGTTCTGTTGCAAAAGATCCACCCCTCCCCTTTTTGTGTCCAAAATACATAATACATAAGATTTAATAAATAAATTTTCTGATGTGGCCGTGGACCATTGAGCTCATTTTTGAAGGATAAAATCTTGCGTTATAACGCGAAACTTTTGCGAATATAAGCGTAAATTTCGCGTAAGGTTATAAACTTCGCGTCATCATTCGAAACATTCGCGATATAATTCAAAACCTTTGCGAATAAACGCGTAACTTTTCTTTATAACGCAAAAATTTTGCTGTTTAACCAAGACGTTTTTGTGATCAAGTTTATTCATTTCAGTGATAAGCAAAAGGCTATTTTGATCTTTGACTATCACAAGCCACAATTTTAAGTTTTCTTGCTATTGCGACCATCTTTACCGTCACATCGTTCTCAATGATGTTCAAACAATTCAAAGTTAATGCAAGTTTTTCAAAAGTTAAACTTTAAGATTATGAATTTCAGGAAAATTCAGAATCTTTCCGGTGTCTTTTTTTAATACCCTTTCTAGAGAATTTGAAATAATTTTATTTTATATTAAAAGATCAAGACCTCAGAAAATTGACAAAATGAGGTAAATTTGTCAATTGTGTCCAAACACATTTGTAAAAATTGGATAACAGAAAAAAATTTCCCCACACTCTACTAAAAACCAGCGTTTTGGGGGAACCCACCTAAACAAATAAATCTGAGTTTGATCAGAAAAATTTCGTGACTAATTCAGTATCCGGAATGTTTGTACCATTTCTTTAAGTTAAGAAATCAAATCTGCTTGACGACTACGGGCCATGCATGGCCCTTTTCCCACTTTGACAGCTCATCATGGACGCCATGTCAATAAACCGGAAGATATTCATGGATACAGTTTAGAACTAGAGGTACTGTGAGCAATGAGCTCACTAAATGATACCCCCCGCATCCCATATGAATATGATGGCAGAGTCCATGTTTTGCCGTGGGAAACCCAAAATATGTATCGGATCAGAAAGTAAAATAAGAGGTACACAATGGCAATATGTAATAGATATCCTGTGAAAGTTTCATCAAATTTCATTCAGTGGTATTAGAGGAGTTGCGGATAAGAGATGGGTACCCCAAAGCGTAACAGACAGATGAACGGACGCACGGACGCACGGACGTACAAACAGACGGACATACCAATTACTACATGTATATACTCTCCCGCTTTTCAAGCGGGGGGTATATTAAAAGAATAGTTATTGCATGTTACAGCCAGTTATTGTATTTTCAGAGCATATGCAACGCCTTTCATTCAAAACTTGCCGAGCCAATGACATCTGCAGAATCAACATTCCTAATCAACCATAGTCAAAACGAGGGTAAGTTTAATGAAACCATATTTACATCTACTGAATATTTTTTATTTCTTATGAAGACCATTGCCGTTAATCAGTGCATGAACAACAATAAACAATTTAGCCACGTGCGTAGATTTATTGAACAAGGGCTGTCCCATCAGATATGAATACAATAACATACTCATCTTAAATACAATATTTTATTTTACTTTGAATGATTTTTAATGGAGATGTAAATATAATGAATAAAATGCATTCTTTGTTTGTTAGTACGGGAATTAACGTCGCAGCTATTGCAGAAAAAAATGCATTTCTTCTGCAACAGCTGCGACATTAATTCCCGTACTAACAACCAAAGCACAGCTTTGATGCAAACATATAATGGATTGCCACGACTGTCGTATCATAGCAAAATCAAATTTATACTTCTATGATGTGTATTCATCATTTTGTGATGCGTTTTGTCATTCTATGATGTGCTTTTATCATTATGCGATGTATTTTTTTTTCATTTTGTAATGTGCTTTTGTCATTATGTAATGTGCAAAACATACTACATACTACATACGCGGATCCAGGAATTTAAAGAGGAGTTTCATCCGACTCAAGAAAAGAAATTCAGGAATTTTCGACATGTATAAATTGAGAAAAAAACAGAAACTCGTAAACAAACGAAAACTTAAACTGATATTTGCATTTTTAGTGGTAAGAGACATCGTAATGATGATTTTATTTGCAAAAATATTTTAGACAATTGTCTCAGAATAAAAAAAAAGTATTTAAGGGTTCTGAATCTACAATGTAGCAAAAGAGCTTATAGAATTAACAGCATGTTTGATTATAGATATTTATAGATGCTGAACATTTTGACACTTCTTATTGCATCTTTCGTGCATTTGATTGAGCAGCTGGCCAATATTGGATTGGAATATCTGACATTATCGAGGAAGACAGGTGGATTTACTCTTCTAATCTACAGCCAATCCAAGTCAACAGTTTTGACGCTAGTCAACCTAACGACCACGTGAGAGGAAATTGTGTCGCCCTTTGGCGACCATTTCATGGACGTTGGGCAGATGAACCTTGTGATAGGCATTACAATTTCATCTGTGAACTGCAAGAGTAAGTTTTTTTTCTCAGTATTTCTATGAAAAAAAAGCTTTTTTACTTTGAAAAATTGAATATTCTTCAATGCTATCGACGTTCGACTCCTTTTCCAGATGTAAATGGAATATAGATAAAATTCTATATAGTTTTACCTAGGTATATAATTATATATAAGAGAAAAAAAGATTCAGTTATATTGATATGCTAGAATTCTCAGTAAGATTAAAGTTGACGACGGATTTTTCCGTTATTTCCCGATCATGACAAGGAGCACACGGCGGGTGTGACCGGTTAGCAGGGGATGCTCACTCCTCCATGGCACCTAATCCCACCTTTGATGTTTCGGAGGTCTGCTCTGCTCCTATTTTGTATTGTTTTATAGACTTTGATATTGAATACTGTTCGTTATCTCCAAGTCCTTCTTTGAGTTCAGATCATTGCCTCAATGGATGGAGTGAGTCTCAACTATAGCTAAGGAAAAGTGTTTTAGGAAAATTCGCGGGAGAATACCAGAGCCATAATTATACGAGGGTTGTAACAGTTCGAAAAGTTCGTGGAAGATGTCAATATTCGTTATACTAGAGCTACTTTCAAGAAATTTAAAATAAGCACAATTTCATGTGTAAAAATATTTATTTTGTTGATGTGTGAAGTTTCATTTCTTTCGATTTCAGAGATATCAATTTATTACTTCATTTTAAAATCAACATGTCGTGTAACGTCATAAACAGAATCAAGCATTTCTTTAAAATACTATCTCTATAAATTTCACACAGTATGGTCCAATAATAACTTAATATTTAAACCCATTTTCTAGCACTTGATATTTATTTTTCTAACAATTGTCCTCGTTATATGATATCGTTTGTCAATGTTTTAATTTCTTTTACCACTTAACAGTGCTTTCCAAGATTTGCCTAGTACTGTTGATCACTTAATTTTCGTGACACCTTATTTTCGCAAGATAGTCATTGACTCTTTATTAGCGAGACAAAATTTTCACGAATTGTGGTCATTGCTCTATGTTATCTTTAGGAATTCTATAATACGCGAGAATGAAATTTTCGCGAGCATTCCGTCTCGCGTAATCACGCGAAATTAAAGTTCTCACGAATAAAAAGTGATTTACAATATGCCATTTCTCGTCAGGTACATAGGCGCTTGGTTTCAGGATGGTGTTTTTTGTGTATTATGTGTTTTTTCTAGGCGTGTCTGAATACCCTCATCAAAATAATAAAAATACACCAACCTGAATGCAAGCGCCTATGGTCCGGTACAGAGTCTCTGTCAATCAAATACCACCTGCACCATTTACAAACACATGCACGACTTACTTGTGACACATTTTTTTTATTCCTTTCACATTTTAGAGCTTTTTTTCAGGGTTTTCTCTTAGTATAACACAAAATTGCATCGATATCTGCTGCTCCGTTACGTTCAACAACGTCATTTTGTCGCTTTCAATGAGGACTATACCTATCTTCTCAAACTGGTTTCTTTTCAACGAAGCAGAATATTAATCCATAATTTTGAATGTAAATCAATGTAACAATTCTTAATTTAAAAGTGTAGGATTTATTTTCGTTTTTGTTCCAGTTTTCAGAGAATATGTCTACATACTGTTGTATCATGTTTATTTAGTGTGTTGTTTGTGAATTGCTTAATTTTGCAGTGCTTTAATTTTGGACAGGTATTTTAAAAATGAATCATGATAATTTAAGATTTTTTTAATGTAGTCCGATCCTCAGATTTATAAATTAGCAGTTAAGTAATAAAAAAAATATTCATAAAAGTATCTCTGAATTACGGAAGCCCATTAGTGCCAACCTGTATATATAAAGGAAAAGCAATATATAAAAGCAAACCTCGATAAATAAAGGAAATGCGATATATATAAACAAAAGCTGGATATATATAAAGGAAATGCGATATATATAAACACAACTGGGATATATATAAAGGAAATGTGATATATATAAACAAAAGCTGGATATATATAAAGGAAATGCGATATATATAAACACAACTGGGATATATATAAACAAAACATCGATATATATATAAAGAGAAATGCGATAAATATAAAGAGAAAATTTTCCACTGTGGGACCTGTAGAGCTCGGCTGTCCATCAAGATTATATACAGATTACCTCCTGGCAGGGGGGGGGGAATCAGTTATACAGTACTCATTTATAACTTTCCCAGAATCGGCAAAATGTTGCTATGTAATAGTGTTTATTTGTTGTACATGCATATATCAATGAACTGTAATTGTAACATTACTTAAAATAATGCACTTAATTGAGAAGAAGAGCATTTACAGTGGCGGATCCAGGAATTCGTAAGGGGAGGGGGCAGTAGAAGGCAGAGGGGGTGTGGTGGCTGTACGGAATTAAGGATAATGGGCCTATAATTTTTATATACAAATATTAGAAACGGGGAGGGGGGGGCACGCCGGTGCTAGATCCGCCTTTGATTTAATTACTAGTATATATATTAATGAAATAAGTACAATATTTATCGTATTTTCTGTGCATTTATTGGCTTTACAAGTATATGATTACTTCGTTTTTACAACCTAGAGATATCTTGTTTACTGTTTTACAGAAACTAAGCCGTACTACCTCTGGTTTCACGACCGAGAATTCACGAAAATAATGTTTAACAGGAAGTCTCTTTTTTGATGCAATTATCAAATTTATTTAAATTCATTTTAAAAATAATTAACTAGTTTGCCCATTGATTGTTAAAAAAGAATCAATATCGTTCGGAATGGGAGAGAGGGGAAGGATGAAGGTACCCACTTCGTTTGAATTTGAGGGAAGAAAGTGACAAGTAAAATTATACTGTAATAATTTTAGGATCTTTAATGGTGTGGAAAAAATATCAAATATTTGGGAATTAATAAAATGAAACGAATTAGAGCATATACACTCACATAATTAAACTGCGGATTTTTGTGCCACGTCGTAAATTAAATCGATTTGAAATTCTTCATGTATCATGTAAAAAACAGTAAAACGTTAAAAAACTTATTAAGCATGATAAAACACACTTGTATTTTTGCACCGAATTATAGTTCGATTGAAAAGACCCCCAACATTAATATATATTTTAAGCAGAAAAGTCTCTGAAGTCTTTGAAATGTAAATCAATTCAATTTAATTTATTCAATTTTGATTATGTATATAATCATTGTTTATTTTCCAAATACAATATCATTATTATGCATAAAACAGTGTCCCTTTTGTACCTCGTGTAAACCACGTGATAAAATTAACCAATAGGATTTCTCTATTAGCTGAAGTTAGCGTGCCTGCAGTGTTGATGTTTATATTTTTCCAGTTCAGTAATTATACTAATCCTTCTTTATTATTACTGTTTGGACTATGTGATAAATGTGACTAATTCAGGAACATTTGCTTTCGGATTTACTTTGACGCATTTTATGTTTGGATATTTCTATCTACAAATAATTAGACATGTGCTATATGAAACCTGTGTACCTATCGATGTGTGTTGACTTATTAATAAATTCATAGTTTTAAATACTGGATTGTCTGCATTTTAAGATAGCAACACGGTGATATTAAGTAAATTCGAATTTGTGAATAGTTCAGTATGCCGAGGGCTGCAAGGAGAAATGCGACAAGGCAAAGGCCTGTTCAGGTGGTTTCAACTTCTGCCGTAGAAAGCAGTGCTACACTTCTTGACATGGACAATCCCTTGAATTGGACTGTTGCCCAATTAAGGGAAAGACTGACACTATTAGGAATTCAAGTTCCGAAAGGATTCAATGCCTCAACTTTGCGACAGCTTTACAATGAAAACATAAACAAAGGTGATGTAACAGAACGGCGCGAAAACTCGCATGAAGGATCATTGGGCGGAAGTGACGCAACAAACAATGGCGTCCCCCTACAAACATTGGGCGAAAGTACAGTTACGAATACAAATAACGATGGTGTTCTACTACAGACTTTGCAAAGTATGGCTCAATCATGCGCAGCTTTGCAACAGACGGTTAATACGTTATTAGCGAAAGAGAACAAGAAAGACGCAGAGAAGGAGGACGATAACCCTCTTAAGAAATATGCTGCTCAAGTTCACACGGATTCAGCTTCAGATACGATAAATTCAGTTAATATTAGTGAGCACTCAAGCATAGGGGTCCCATCGAAAGATGTAGGCCATGTGGATCTGGTCTCCGCCGATATTCGAAAAAAAATACTACGAGGTGAAGATGTAAATATGTGCACGCTCCTGATACCAGCTTATGAGACTCCCAAAAAGGAACAGGAGAAAACTGATAAAAGACTAAATAGAAATTTAAACATGAGCGAGTTTGTCACTGCTTTCAGTAGATACAAACGGATAATGTGTGCCACATACCCTTGGAGACAAGAGGAACTGGACATGAACTTGGCACATATTATAGAGGTACACAATGTTTGGCCAACAAAATTTTTTGAGTATCACAAATTGTTTGCTGCCAAATGTGCCATTGCCCTAAAACAGAACAATGTTCTAATAAACTGGAGCAAAGGAGACGATGAAATATTGAAGCGTGTAGTAGCAGGTGCTGAAGTCAGCAAGTGTAATATTTGCTCCTCGACCACCCATACATCTAGTATGTGCGTTGAAAATTCAGATGACAACAAACATCAACGAAGTTACCAGAGCTATCAAAGAAAGGACAAGTATGATAGGAATATAGCCTTTCATGAAGGTAGGCAAATTTGCAACAACTACAATTCAAACAGATGTACCGTACCATACTGCAGAAGAGCACATGTATGTGCTCAATGCATGTCTACTTCTCACGGAAAACTAAAGTGTCCGAATTTAAACGCCGAGAAGACCACGACCACAAATTCGATGCTAGATGATAAAACAAAGAAACAAAAAACTCTACAGTGACTAGAAAAACAAGAAAGGGATGAATTTAAAGCCACTACACCAGTTAATATAGAAAGACTAGAGTTTGAATTATGTAATCACCCAGACAGAGAATT